AGGCACTTGATTTGCAACAGCCCGACACGTTGGAATTCAACACTCCTAATGTTCGACTGCCTGCTTCAACAAGAAAAAGCCGTTAACGAGTATTTGTATGACTGGGGTGCAAGGACAGCCTCTGCGGAGCTGGGAATTTTTTTGCCACGTTACTGGACGCTCATGCGCAATGCCTGTAGGCTCATGCGTCCTTTTGAGGAGGTGACAAACCTAGTCAGTCACACCGAAGGCACCATCAGCGACATCATACCATTTGTTTTCTTCCTGGAGCATGCCCTGCGAAGAGTGCTGGATCCCTTGCCTGGTGCATGTGCCAGAAATTCCTGAAAAACTACCCAGATATATCAGAGCTGCTGCAGAAAGTGCGGGCCATCTGTGCGCGCTTTCGGCTTTCTCACCCTGCTGCTGCTCGCCTGTCTGTGCTGCAGCGTAACTTCGGACTTCCCGCTCACCGCCTCATATGCGACGTGCCCACAAGGTGGAACTCCACCTTGCACATGCTGGAGAGACTGTGCAAGCAGCAGCAGGCGATAGTCAAGTTTCGGATGCAGCATGCACGGGTCAGTCGCTCTGTGGAACAGCACCACTTCACCACCAGTGAGTGGGCCTCCATGCAAGACCTGTGTGCCATTTTGCACTGTTTTGTGTACTCCACCAACATGCCGATGATGCCATTCTCAGCCTTACTATCCCGCTTCTATGTCTCCTTGAAAAAACTCTGCGGGCGATGATGGAAGAGGATATGGCACAGGAGGAAGAGTGGTAATTTCCACGGTTATCAGGCCAGTCATTCACAAGTGGCTTGGAGGGTGGGTTCCTGCACCAGCATAGGCCAGGTACACAATTGTCCAGCCAGGAGGCTGGAGGATGAGGAGGAGGAGGAACCGTGTTCACAGCAGGGTGGCACCTAATGCAGCTCGGGGGCATCACTGGAGCGTGGCTGGGGGGATACGGAGGACACAGACGATACACCTCCCACAGAGGACAGCTTGTCCTTGCCTCTGGGCAGCCTGTCACACATGAACGACTACATGCTGCAGTGCCTGCGCAACGACTGCCGAGTAGCCCACATTCTAACTTGTGCTGATTACTGGGTGGCCACCCTGCTGGATCCCCATTACAAGGACAACGTGCCATCCTTAATTCCCTCAGTGGTAGACACGCTGCTGAGGGCATTCCCAACTGACACCAGGGGCTCAGTGGAAGCACAAGGCGAAGGCAGAGGAGGAGGAAGAGGTTGCCAATGCAGCTGGGGCACTGCCAGCACCTCAGAAGGCAGGGTTAGCATGGCCAAAATGTGGAAAATCTTTGTCAGAACGCCACAACAACACCAGGGGCTCAGTGGAAGCACAAGGCGAAGGCAGAGGAGGAGGAAGAGGTCGCCAATGCAGCTGGGGCACCGCCAGCACCTCAGAAGGCAGGGTTAGCATGGCCGAAATGTGGAAAAGCTTTGTCAGCATCTGATATGGAACGTCTTAGCAGGAGGCAGCATTTCAGCAACATGGTGGAACAGTACTTGTGCACATGCCTACACCTACAGACTGATGGGTCTGCCCCATTCAACTTATGGGTCTCCAAATTGGGCGCATGGCCTGAGCTTGCCCTTTGAGCTCAGTTTGAACAATGAAAGAGAATACCCTTCACTCCACTCTCTCTCAAATGGATAATTCTGGTGATCCTCCTGACAGCCATGCTTTAGATTTTGATTTATGTTCTTCCAAAGCTAAAATCAAATATTCCATCTAGTGCTATTTTATGGCTCAGCTGTATTTTTAATTTTTATGTTATTTTAAGTGATTTCCCTATCCACATTTGTTTGCGGGTCACTTGTCCTACTCTTACCCCCATTTTACTTCCTTTTGCAGCCCTCTAGCCCTTTCCAGGACTTTTTTAGAGGCATTTTTGTGCCCAAAAGTTCAGGTCCCCATTGACTTCAATGGGGTTTGGGGTCAAGTTCGAGCCCGAGCCCGAACCCGGACTTTTTTTCAAAGTTCGGCCGAATCGGCCGGCCCCGAAAATCCAGGTGTCCGCTCAACTCTAAATCTGAAGTAACATTACAACTATTTGTGACAAATCGACAGTCCAACCCCTGTAAGTGACAATTGTTAAAACTAAGCAAATGGATGGGGACAAGAAGTTCTGTTCTTAATTTGCACTAACCAATCACGTTTCCCTTCTGTGCAACACACACAACACTTGAATTGTTGTTTGGCTTCTGCAAAAGCCTTTTACTGTTGTCTAAATGCACCTCTGTTAATGCAAAAATAAAGTATTTAAAAAATAAAATAAAAAAATATTATAGTAAAGGGCATGAAGCAGACAAAATACTTTCAGCATAATAAAAAAAAAAAAAGCAAAGTCTGAATCGAATAACTAAGATAATAAGAAATGGAGATACATTATTAACTCCAGAAAATATAGGCCAAAGCTTCAAGGAGTATTAAAGCTCTTTGTATAATTTAAAAGAGGAAAATGAAAAACAAAACGTAAAGAATTATTTACTAAGAGCTAATTTAAACAAAATATCGGAAACCCAGAGAAACAATTTAAATCACCCTATAGATAAACTATTGTATTATTACTGGTACTCCTGCAGGCATAGTCAAGCTATCCCTATTCAGTGCATTACCATCTTTAGGCACCCCGGCTGACCCTTTGTTCAAATTTTATCGCAACATGGTAGCAATAGGATTTTCCCGCCTATTTGTTGACGGTATTTATTATAGTTAGCTATCGGTAGTGCAACACAGTGATCCTCTATCCCTCTAGCACTCCAGCTATCCAACCACTTAGACCTCCTTTTTCCCTTTTGATCTGTGCTAGCGATCCTGGCTGTGATCTCATCATTCACATTTTTTAACAACCTTTGTGTTCCGTATGTACCTCTATATCTGTTCTAAATCCTGACAGTATCTAGAATCACAGCCGCAAGCTATACTATTGCGACAGCTTTGCAACATAGCTCCCTACAGCCACAGAGGTTTACCTTTGATCAATTGACTAGCAGTGTGATAACAGAGACATTTGGGTCTTTATGTATATGTGAGTTTTTTTTATGTATTAAGGCCGTTTGGCCTGTATTTGTGGGAGGGGCTTAAATTAAATCACTCCCCTATATAAGGTACACCCCTTACCTGCCTCCATACCGATCAAGGTCAGTGTCTGAATGAACTTCTGGGTCATCCAGTCACCATTTTGGAATACTTCTGTCTTCTCACGAGGTCTTCCACGCTGAGCTGTGTCCAGGAATCCAGCTTCAGGCTTTTTCCGTCCGACCAGCTTCTTGCTTCTTTCATCGCCACAGATCACGTCCTAGTGACTCACAAAATATAAGTTGACCTACCAGGCAACAGTCCCACGGCATCATACACGGGTCAGGTCCTCACTTTACGGTTACGTTCGGCGATTTTCATGCTACACTGCATATTCAGTCTATATTGTTTGTTTTCAGTCGTTCGTTTACCCTGCCATTTCGGGCATATCTCACTCTATGTTTTCCCCATTCTGGCTTTTCGGGATTGTATTACAATATATTTCCCCGTTTCGGACACTTCACTGTCAACTCATTCGTATAAATATCTCCGTTCATGCACTTCAAACGCACGAACAGATTAGATACACATGTTCTGTTTTACAAATCTCAGTCTGTTATTAGAGATACTCATGGCCGGTTCGTGCGGTTTACACAGCACGAACAGGATACATTAATAACTAATCTTTCATTCACTACCGACACAGTTTGTGCGGTTAAATTCACGAACATGCAGTTTTGGGGGATTTAACCTTACTGTCTTTAGTTATTAACTACTGGTTAATTATGTGTTCATGGACATGTGTTAATTATAAATGTCTTACTTTACAATACACATTATAACAGTGGCTCTACACTGCCACCTACAGTTCGACAAGTACATTACATAAATATATATTACAAACTCTCCACTGACATCTATGCATGATCTCTACCTACACTGCCACCTACAGACCACTTCATATATGGTCACCAGGGGAATTTTACAAACACTAAACCCCATCAATGAACACATAACAATTAAAATATTTTAACATGTATATGGATACAGATATATATTATAACATATAAACTGATACTCCATAATTAATCAAGTACGGCGCATCACATAAATTTAAATACTTAGAACTCACACTACATAATATTACGTCCACCATGCTACAACTCAAACACTGCCACCTACAGGTCAGCAAATACATACTTACGGATATCCTACAAACATCATCTCCATTGACCTCTACAGGTCAAAACAACCAAACATAATTAAGGTAAAATGGGTTGTGCCATTTGTCATTATTTTCATATGGTTTCCATCTATTTAGCTACCTATACGGATTATTCAGGTTACAAACCTATACTTTCAGGTAAGTACACCTGCTTACAGTATATCCATAACAAAAATCTCCCACAGTATAGACATAAGTACTGGCAATTAGAGTCATAGGGGCCATTAGGTAATTTCCTTTTTCTCTGCACTATGCTCCGGATTAGTGGTCCCACAAGGCCAACACCGCGCCTCAAACTCGGAGGCATACACCTCTCGGGCCACACGTGAGCTAGCCACCTCACACGTATCATAGAGAGGGCCTCACCAGTCACTCCCCTTCCTATTTTCTGGTTACAGTCACCGAGAGACCAACATCCTGCCACAACGTTGGCCACAAAAATCCCCTCGCACCAAGCATAGATAGAGCCTCTCAAGCCGCTTGGCAACTAGCAGGGCCTCACCTGTCACCAAAACAATGAGCATAATGCAGGGGCGTATTAGCCGCGAGGCAAACAAGGCATTTGCCTTGGGCGGCATTTTTCAGGGGGCGGCAAAAAACGCCGCCCCCCAAATGCCCAAGGCAAATGTCGTTAGCCTCGTGGCTAACAGACATTCTGGGCGCTGGGCGGCAGTGGCTGCAGCGCTGGGCGGGCGGGCGGACGGCGAGGGAGCTCTTCCCCTGAGCGCTCTGCTCGGCTCCCTCGCGCACCGCCAGCAGAGTGAGGCTGGGAGCCGGAAGATGACGTCATATTCCGGCTCCCAGCCTCACTCTGCTGGCGGCGCGCGAGGGAGCTGAACAGAGCGCTCAGGGGAAGAGCTCCCTCGCCGGCCGCCCGCCCGCCCAGCGCTGCAGCCACTGGACCCCAGGGAGAGGAAGAACCCCCCCCCAGCATTACCAAAGGTAAGGAGGCTGGGGGGGGGTTAAATAAAAAAAAATAAAAAAAACACTAGTGTGTGTGTTGAAGTCTGTTAGTGTGTGTATGTATGTTAGTGTTAGTGTGTGTATGTATGTGTGTGGATGTCTGTTAGTGTGTGTATGTTAGTGTGTCTGTTAGTGTGTGTATGTTAGTGTTTGTGTCTGTTAGTGTGTATGTTAGTGTTAGTTTGTGTATGTTAGTGTGTGTGTGTGTGTGTTAGTGTGTGTCTGTTAGTGTGTGTATGTTAGTGTGTCTGTTAGTGTGTGTGTGTGTATGTTAGTGTTTGTGTCTGTTAGTGTGTATGTTAGTGTTAGTGTGTGTATGTTAGTGTGTGTATGTTAGTGTGTGTGTGTCTGTTAGTGTTAGTGTGTATGTTAATGTTAGTGTATGTATGTTAGTGTTAGTGTATGGATGTCTGTTAGTGTGGATGTCTGTTAGTGTGTGTGTTTGCCTGTTAGTGTGTGTGTGTTTGCCTGTGAGTGTGTGTGTCTGTTAGTGAGTGTGTGAGTGTGTGTCTGTTAGTGAGTGTGTGAGTGTGTGTCTGTTAGTGACTGTGTGTTTCTGTTAGCTAGTGAATGCGTATCTGTCAGTGAATGTGTGTGTGTGTGTATTTAGAAGGCGGAGCAGGGGGGAAGGTTGGGTGGCGGTTGTGCGGGTGGGGGTGGCGCGGGGGGGTGCCTGAGTTTTGTCCTGCCTAGGGCAGCACAAAACCAGGATACACCACTGGCATAATGGTTTTGCCTTACGGCATAGCTAGCAAGCCAGTACTCAGCTACTCGGTTCAAATAATAATTTTATCTTTTCTTTATTTAAGCATGTCTCATGAAGGTGATGAAGAGCGATCTCTTCATGGCACCCCAGCTAGGGTCGAGACACATTCTCGTAGGGGAGATGTTGCCAGTCCAGCATCAATAAGATCCTGGACGATCCCACACATCACCACCGAACTGAGAGAACCACCAGAGACAAACTGAGTCGTCCCATCATTTTCTTTGGTAAATCTCAGGTATGCAATAATTTCAATGTGGGCACATGTAGCTTTAGTGCATGCAGGTTATTGCATATTTGTTCACATTGTTTCAGGGCACATGCAAAAACCACGTGTCCAAATAAAATGTACCCTATACCATACCCAATGTCTGTTAACATTCATGTCTTCTCAGTGCTACTGATCAACCACCCCTCCAGACATATGGTAGATTTTCTCATCTCTGGTTTCTCAGAGGGGTTCCATACAGGCATTATACATATGCCCACAGGCCACCTTGAATGTCCAAATTTACAATCCGCGCAACAGAACCCAACAGCCGTAGATACACTCTTAGCCCAAGAACTGGCAGAGGGGTTTTTGTTCATGCCTTTTAAAATCCAACCTTTCACGGCATGGCACACAAATCCCATCGGGATAGTCACAGGGAAATCTTCCCTCAAGCAGAGACTCTTCATAGAACTGTCAGCCCCTCATACCTCTTCTACTCCGAGTCTTAACTCCCTTATTCCCTCCTAAGAGTTTTCCCTACAATATGCCACCATAGATCATGCCATCACAGCCATCATGCAAGCAGGGATCGGAGCTTGACTAAGTAAGACAGACATTACAAATGGCTTTAAACTACTACCTATCCACCCTACACTCTGGCACTTACATGGCATCAAATGGGCTGATAACTATTATTTTTTCTCCCTCTTAACCTTTGGGTCAAAAAGAATCACTTTGCTTGTTGTTACTTAACATTTCCAGATACCCCATAGTCATCCATTATCTGGATGATTTCTTGCTGATCGAAGATAACTCCTTTCCCCCCAGAAGTCTCAAAGAAACCATTAGTCTGTTTGACCCACTGGGAGTTCCAGTATCCCCTAAGAAAACCGAAGGTCCAAACACAATCATTACATTTCTGGGCATACAACTAGACTCAGCCCCTATGCAAGCTAGTTTACCACAAGAAAAAATTACACTTATCCTCAACAGCATCAACCATTACATCCTGCTGGGTAATTGCAACTGCAAGGAACTTCAATCTCTCATAGGTTCCATGCGCATCATCCCTCAAGGGTGTGCTTTCATATCTAGACTTCTCTGTCTTTTTCCACATTTCCAACACGACAACTATAGACTGTCCTTGGATGCGCACGCCATGGCAGACCTACACATGTGGAAAGAATTCTTGACCACCTGGCATGGTAAAAGCTTGTCCCTCCCAGAATTGTCTGACATATCTCCAACCATATGGTAAGAGGCGGCGTCTGCCACAGGTTTCGCAGCGATCTTTGGGAATGAATAACTTTGGGGTAAAGGGCCTGAAGAAGTCTAGGACTTAGAAGGCTTTTTTACAACCTCAGCTCTTTTTGAGATTTACCCCATTGTAGCAGCTGCCGTGGCGTGGGGACATTTATGGTCAGGCTTGTCAGTCCATTGCCACACAGACACCCAAGCAACATGTCACATCATTAACAATGGCCATTCATCATCCCTAACAATCATGAGATTTCTCAGGAAACTCACGTGGTTAGCAGCATGTCACAATTTCTACTTGGTCTGCTTTCATGTACCGGGCATTAGTAACATAGCAGCTGACAGTCTGTCTCGTTTCAACTTTTAGGCTTTTCAGCAAGCACTCCCGTCAGCAGCACAAGCAGCCACAGCCGCCCCTCGTTCCAGCAGCTAACCATGGACTAGAACTAATCATGCAGCATTGCAGGGATCTAGCACTATCATCCAACACTCACAAAACATACAACATAGCCTTCATACTTTTCACAAGATTTCTATCTGACCACGACATAGCCCAACCTTTTGTCATGACATCTATTATAGTCTTCACTTCTTTTTGCCACCTTAAATTACACTTATTTTACAACACCATCAAATTATGTCTGACAGGCATTCAACATCACATGCTAACACTACAACCCAATACACATAGTTTTATGTCATCTTATCTGATAAAAAACACACCCTGAGGTATTCAGAAATCTGTTCCTCCACGTCCTCCGCAGAGATTACCTATAGACAAGATACTTTTCCAGTCATTATCTGACCTGTTAGACTCCAAACCTTTTCACTCTACCACCAACACAGTCATCAAAGCTGCCATGTACATGGCATTCTACAGGTTCCTCAGGCCAAGAGAATTCACTACTATCACCACCACTCAGACAGACAGATGTCTTCTATGCACACACTTACGCAAACACATGGATCAATACATACTGTCACTACCCCAGTCAAAACAAGCCAACACGCACCTCCAGTGGAGATCACTTATTTCCCTACCCAAAACAAATGGTGCCCAGTAGCGACTCTAGATTCCTACCTTTCACTTACCACGTCACCACCATCACTACACCTATTCTCACTACAAGGCTCTGTACTCACTACCACGACTTTTTTATGAAATACATCTGTTCCCTGCTAACCATACTAGGTTTTAACCCTTCTCACTACTCATGTCACTCCTTCCGCGTAGGGGCAGCCTCCACAGCTTCCAGCGCTAACATACCGGTGCATATCATTAAATCACTGGGGCGTTGGAAGTCATCCGCATATACGACTTACATACCAAAACCTATACAAGAATTAAGAAATGCTTTTAAAGAAATGTCTGGATAATTGTATATATATTTGTTGACTGTATTAAATCTTTGGTTATTCATTTTTTCCCTCTTTATTTACAGGTAGTGATGTACTGAACGGTTCGCCGGCGAACGGTTCCTGGCGAACATAGCATGTTCGCGTTCGCCACGGCGGGCGAACATATGCGCGGTTCGACCCGCCCCCTATTCGTCATCATTGAGTAAACTTTGACCCTGTACCTCACAGTCAGCAGACACATTCCAGCCAATTAGCAGCACAGCCTCCCTAGCAGACCCTCCCACCTACTGGACAGCATCCATTTTAGATTCATTCTCAAGCTGCATGCTTAGTAAGAGGAGGGAAAGTGTAGCTGCTGTTCATAAGATAGGGAAAAGCATAGCTAGGTTAGGGATAAGGGTATGCTTTTTTTGGAATTTTTTTTTCTATGTAATGTAAATGCACTTAGTTGTCTGCCACTGCTGCCAGCTTCTGTGTCAGGCTCACAGTGCCCATTTCCCCAGTCAGTGCCACCAATTACATCTGGTGTCACAATAGCTTGGATTTAAAAACAAAAAACTTTTTTCACTGTTATAGATTGAATAGCAGTCAGTTGTCTGCCACTGCTGCCAGCTTCTGTGTCAGGCTCACAGTGCATACTGTGCCCATTTCCCCAGTCAGTGCCACCAATTACATCTGGTGTCACAATAGCTTGGATTTAAAAACAAAAAACTTTTTTTACTGTTATAGATTGAATAGCAGTCAGTGTCCTTAAAGCGGGTGTGTTGCGCTAACAGTGGATACGCTGACCAGTGCCACCAATTAGATCTGGTTACACAAAAGCTTGGATTTAAAAAAACAAAACACTTTTTTCACTGTTATAGATTGAATAGCAGTCAGTGTCCTTAAAGCGGGTGTGTTACGCTAACAGTGGATACGCTGACAAGTGCCACTAATTAGATCTGGTGTCACAATAGCTTGGATTTAAAAACAAAAAACTTTTTTACTGTTATAGATTGAATAGCAGTCAGTGTCCTTAAAGCGGGTGTGTTACGCTAACAGTGGATACGCTGACAAGTGCCACTAATTAGATCTGGTGTCACAATAGCTTGGATTTAAAAACAAAAAACTTTTTTTACTGTTATAGATTGAATAGCAGTCAGTGTCCTTAAAGCGGGGTGTGTTACGCTAACAGTGGATACGCTGACAAGTGCCACTAATTAGATCCTGTGTCACAATAGCTTGGATTTAAAAACAAAAAACTTTTTTTACTGTTATAGATTGAATAGCAGTCAGTGT